TACTTGTACATTTGATTCGTACTTGTAAATTGGTTTCGTACTTGTAAATTAGATTTATACTTGTAATGTGGCAAAGTTGTAACGTTTTTACTTTTATTTGAAACTTAAAAACTTGTATTCTCACATAAGAATTGTACTTGTAAATTTGATTCGTACTTGTAAATTGGTTTCGTACTTGTAAATTTGACTTGTAATGTGGCAAAGTTGTAACTTTTTAACTTGTATTTGTAACTTAAAAACTTGTATTCTCACATAAGAATTGTACTTGTAAATTTGATTCGTACTTGTAATGTGGCAAAGTTGTAACTTTTTAACTTGTATTTGTAACTTAAAAACTTGTATTCTCACATAAGAATTGTACTTGTAAATTTGATTCGTACTTGTAAATTTTATTCGTACTTGTAAATTTTATTCGTACTTGTAATGTGGCAAAGTTGTAACAAATTTATGTACGTTTATAGACTTACATGTACAAATTTAGACTCTTACACATACAATGATTCTGGCAGTTATCATACCCCATAGACTTGCACTGAAATAAAACAGAAAGCATAATTTGTTCCTGACAGATTCTGGAAATGATGCTGAGATGCAGTGAACACAAGTTGAATTTTTGCATTTAATTTTACTTAGAGTTGAAAATGCATGCATATTTAAATAGATTATAATGAAACAGAGTTTCTCAATAGTGTAAACTAGCTTGCTACACAAACCTGATTGTTTATTTCCCTATTGATAAACTGATATTTTCTGTACAGTTAAAGACGTTCAGCTCAATTTACACCTTACCTGTAGCCACTGCGACTGATCACTGTGTCCAGCTGTCCAAGCATTGACCTTGCCCTGTTTGTCCAAACGGGCTTTCCCAGGCTCCCAAGTGAACATGTCCATGTTGAGCGTTCTGAAGATACTGGAGGCGGTGACCTGGTAGTCCTGGATATGTCCTGATTTCATCCCCAAAGGTTCAGAACAGCCTTTCAGCAAAAACAAAAAAGACTAGCTTGTTTTAATGTTTCTGAAATGCACAAAATCAAAAATAAATAAATAAAAATAAAAAAGCAAAAGCCATAGCACAACTATATATTTAGAGCAATAATACGTTTTCTTACCTGTCAGCTCACAGCCAAGGAGCTCCATCCGTAAGGTACAGTGCCTCCTGCAGACTTGGGGGTAAATGCGCACGTAYTGGGCTTCAACAGGAGGTGTGAAAGAGTTGGCCGATGGAGCGTTGTTATCAACATTTCCTCTAAAAATCTGTTAGATGAGATGAAATAACATCTAATAGAGGCTATATTACGGCCAACCATCCAAAGCTGTCTCTAGTGTCTACTCCAGAGCCAACAAATTGCTGTCATTCAAGGTCAATGAGCTAGAATTACAGAGACAAAGAAACTGACAATTCCCTGCACCGTTTGAGCCAAATAATTCATAAGAACAATAGTGTGCTTTAGATTAATGCCCCAATTATACTGCCATACTTTCTGGACACTTAAAATGAAATAATAACAGACAGCATGGCATAGACTTTTTTTCATTTGACAGACAAAAAGGCACAGAGTCCAGCTTTTTAACAATATCTTGACTGGTAACAATAAACAATGATTAAATTACATAAAACTCAAGGGCAAATCAACATTGTCACATATCATAAACTAAATAGGACAATTAGAGATTTGAGTGTTTTGTAGCTCTGCCAAACATGACAGCAGTGGTTTGATTTCAGGAATGACAGAATGCTGTGTCCCCAATTTGGTGGCTGTTCATTCCCAGTAAGTATAAAAATTCAATCTAAAAGTCATAAAAGTGAAGAGGGGTAAAGGGCGGCATGACGAGCCTGGTGTGCACCGGCTAATTAAAAAGCCATCTCATCACGTCCTCCACCTCGTCCTTGAATAAGTGCAGTATCTAGTCTCTGAGAGTGGACCAGCCTGTACCCTCGTCTATGTGCTATAGAGCAGGAAGCAGTGAGTGACAGGAAACGTGTGCATGTGTGTGTCTCACCATGTCCTCCTCTTTGCCCTTGACTTTGTATGTTCTCCAGGTCTTCCCATCATCACTGTACGCCACTTTGTAAGACTTGACATACTCTGGGCTGCCGATACGTTTGGCACCCTGGGTAATTAGGCCCGTGACCCTCATCTTCCTCAGCAGGTTGATCTGAAGAGTCCAAAGAGAAAATGCAAACGTCACAAAAWTTCATCTTTTTATTTTTTTTTGATGCACTAATACACAAAATGTCCCGCTGTGGCTGTGAACAGTGTGAGCATGCTTCTCATGGGGATCAATTCACCCCCACTTCATCTTCTCTGCCAGGGTCATTCATCTCATTCAGAAAATCTGAGGTCAAATACAACATACAGTATAATCCATCCTCATGTTCCTCAACGAGTAGATCCACAATCTGCAAACTGCCAATATGGAGCCAATGTGGAGGAACTTGGTGACCCATAAAAGAAGGCTTCTGCTTCAGATTCAGATTCAAAATATGTAAAAAAATAAATAAAACAATGACATTTACAGACAGACACTTTATTATCTCTATAAGAATATGTGTTATGACCTCTACAAAGTTTGATCCATTGTTTTTTAAATAGTTAGGTTAGAAAAAAACACCAGCTTTAAAATGGGGCACTCACAAACATACATAAAAAATCAAAATATACAGTATACACATGCACAAGATAGGCTATTCAAGCAAACCAAACCCTTTTTTTAGATCGACTAAATTAAACACACAAGTTGAAGTGAAATGAAAACATCTGGGATTTTTTTAAATAAATTATTGAAGAAGCAGACAGAGAACACATATGATGAACTAAACTGCATGTTTAACAAAAACTAAAAATTAAACTAAACACAAATAAAAACAAAACAACAACAGTGAGAACCAACAAGCAGCAAATTCTATTTATTTATGGAAAAAAGTGAAATAAATTGCATAAAGATAGCACAGACATGACTAATTCAAAGCTGGCCAAAACACTGCCTGTTTAGAAAAACAAAAACAAAAACAAAAAACTAAAACAAACAAACAAGCAAAAAATTATGATTGATAATGAATAACGATAATTTATTTATGGCTCTCTGAAAAATTGAGCACAAAGTAATAAAAAATAAGAAAAAAATATGTCTAATAACCCCGTCTAAAATATCAAGACATATTCAAAAATATAACTATTTTGCTTCGTTTTGGTCTAAATGTAGT